ATCAGTCCGATTAACTATAACCTTTCAAATGTATAATACTTCAAACGTGGATATTGAGAATTTTGAGGATTATTTGCAGCATTTATTTATTTGAATTAATATTTCAAAGCAATTTTCAGTTAAAGCCATCCAGTATTACTGTATACAGCAGAAATTTTTAAACATCGGGCTCACTTTTTCTGTTTTAGACGCGTATTTGCTCCTGCAGATTATTGCATTATTGCAGAGGACTGTTAATCACCAATGCATGAGGCGGAGGAGGGGTATTGATTGGTTATTTCCATTTGTACTGAATAACAGAGATTGGTTAGAGTTTTTACAGTCCTTTATCGCTCAAAGAGATATGACTGTTTTATTCCTCTTGCTGAATACAATACATATAAAATACTATTAGGATGGAAGAAATAACTCCCCAAGTATAACTAAAAGTTTTTCTGAAGAGGATTACCAACTAAAGCCCTAATGTGGATCAGGGTTAAAGGTGCAGGACAAATGTAAACCATATTTGTCAGATGTTTTGTTTGTAAAAGAAATCCCAGTAGCTTTGCAGCTGTAATATATATATATATATATATATATATATATATATATATATATATATATATATATATATAATAAAAGATATATGCTTTTGAAAAGTGGGGTATGACTTTACAATGCTGGTAATAACAGCAGACAGACCTGTGCATGTTTCAGTGCCCTGTTAGGTTTCAGCTTGTCATGCTCTTATAGCCCCGATATTCAGCTAGAGAAGAAGGAGCAGCTAGTTTAACAGTTTTGAGCTATGGAGGATAAAAAGTTAGGGGGCAGTTATCTAACACCTGATTGGTCATCCTGCACATTAAGGCGAAGCAAATCGATTACAGAGACTCGATTCGCGTTAACCCCGCCCCCTAACTTTGATGGGTGAGTTTGACAGATTCTTTTAATGGTTTCGATGCACTGCGACACAGGACCATGAAATAATTAAATACACACTGAAATAATTATATATATTTTTTTAATAAAATGAAGATGTATTTTATTAAATTAATGACACATTTATATATTGAATTGCTTATTTAATGAATTACACATTTAATTAATTGTTTATCGCTGTATTTATTTATTTAATTGTGACGTGGTTTTAATTAATGAATGACAAATTTATTTATTTAATTCCACATTTAATTAATTATTGACACATTTAATTATTTATTTAATGCTGTATCTATTTATTTAATTTTGGCACTTTTTATCCTCCATAGATATCCTGTCTTTTACAGCACAAACACTAATTTGTCATAAAAAAAGTAATAACATAAATTTGAAACATGTTAGGAAAAAAGGGTAGTAAACTTGAAGGTTTCACACTTGAATATTGAAGTTCTGTAAAACTATATATAAAAAAAAAACCTTTAAAACTATGACTAACGTAAGCTTGTTTTTATATTAACCCCAATACTTTTTTCTTACTGGTTTTAATTTTGTCAGAATGGTCTTTTTATGAGGTCATCGTCCAGTTTGTGATCATGCGTTACGACAAAAACACCACCGAGCTCTACCAGGCCAGAGACATTGCGCATCGCTGGGTAAAAAGAACACACATCTTCAAGTTTTTATTGTGTATTAAAAACAGAAAATATGACTACCTCTTTGTTTAGGATGTAATCAATGATTTCTTTTTTTATAGCTTAGATGTGTTACAGAACAGATACACAAACAGAAGAGAAAACAGAGAGATTTAGAGCCTTTTATTATAGTACAGGTAGTGGTTTGAATAGAAATGAGTATTACTAACAAATATAGGCATAAATATAATTGATATTTTTACACATAATAATATTTTTATCTATTTCCTTTGCTGAACTGCAAAGAACTCGTAATTATTTGTAATATTTTCTCCCTGCAGCTCAGAAAGGTTTTACCATCTGACATCTATTTGCACAGAGTGTCTGTGTTTGAAGCAACCAGGTAAAAAAAGAGCAGATTCCCAACTCTGACCTTTTGGTTTATGTTGATTAAACCTTGTTTTACAGCAGAACTAATGAACTGTGAACTAAGTGTCTGTGATCTCTCATGCAGATCCGATAGAAAGGAACACATAAAAACCCCACCTGAAGACGGGCTGGTAAACACACTACAGTTACAGCTGGAAAACTGCTTAAAGCAAACAGAAATGCATAGATAACAGGCAGCTTAACCTTCCAATGGCTTTGATAGATACTTAATAAACACACTTTAATAACATAACTATGCTGCTTAATTTAAAATTCATTCTTGCAGCAATGTTTGACATTTAGGAGAAGCTAACTCTTAGAATTAGATTTTAAAACTGTGTCTTTTTCTTCTGCAGGCACGGTGGGCTCCAGAAAACATTTCCAGGTAAATACTCATATTAATGACAATTCATTTAATGCATGTCCTGAAGGTGCTCACCAGACAGAGAGACTCTGTTTACAAGGATGAAAAAAAAAGTCTCTAAATACCACTATTATGTTTTCTCATACTTAAATATTGAGTTCCTTTTTGCAGGTTCTACTGCCTGGTTTACATTAATGTCATCCCTAAGTTGGATGTTGCAGCTGTGCAAAAAGAAATGTACGCCGACCTTTCAGTCGTCTACACTGACCTCAGAGATCTGCTGCTGCTAGCTGACGTCAGCACTATCTACACCACCCCTGTTGGTACGAAAGAGCTCCCACATCTCCGAGGATATATGATACGCATGAGTTGTGCAGAAAGTCTGATCAACTGCTTCCTTTCCAGAGAGTTTCTCCATGACAACCACCAGCCCTCAGAGTGCCACAGCAACATCCAACTCTGTCTCAACCTCCACCTTTAACACCGCTTCAAGCTCTACGTTCACCCAACTAACAACACTGAAAACAACTATTACTACAACTTTTACTACCAGAGGAGTGACAACCTACACCATTACCAGAACCCCTGCAAATGTCTCTGGTCCCTCTGGTAACAGGTTTTTAAATTATAATTATGAACTCAGAGTCTTAAGAAAACTCTTCTGATTTATCAATTTCTCCCAAAACAGAACTTTATTTCGAAGTCAAGGTGAACGTCTCTATAAAAGGACACTGCGACCCACAGGCGATCCTCCCTAACTGGGTATGCCTCACAAGTAATCAAATTAAAACTTCCTAGAAAGCAAAAAACAAGACAAAAAGCAAGAGTGAAACATTTCAATTCCTTTCAGCTTAACATGAGTCTCCCTGATGACTTAATGATGGTGCTGGACCTGCAGCTGCTGCCCCATACAGAGAGGTGTGCTATGCAAGGATGCTGATTCAACACTGTTTAAATACATAGGATAAGGTGAAGGAGTATGATTAAATAAGGTTGACTTCTTCATACCCCTTTTCAGACAAACCTTATAACAATTATATATGTTATTGATTATAATATTTGCATGTTTTTCTTATTTTTTTAACTCTTTTGTCTGAAATAAAGCTTTTAATTTATACATTTTCAGAAAAAGTTGAAAAATAGGCAAATAATCTGTTATTGTTTCAGACCTTCTCCTGAAAGAGACGTTCACTCTATTTCAGAGCAAGTAAGTAGATATACTGAAATAATAATAATAAAAAAGCCTCTTTTTTTATTTTTAAATGTAACATCTTTTCCTGTTTATTGTATTGCAAACACACATCAAAGTAAAGGAAATATGATATGAACAAACTCCAGGAATAAAAAACACATTTGAAACTTAGCTCCAGAAAGGCATTTCATTAAAATATTGCTCTCTAAACATGAGTAGATACAGCTGCAGTCAGAAGTTTATAACTGTTTGTCACCAGTTTAAACTCAGGGTCTCTATGGATTGATGTTAAACAATTATTTATTTGGGGTTGGATGTTAACAAAGCAGAAAACAAGGAGAATTCTTTAAAAACAAAAATTGGTTGTTTTATGTTTTAGTTTTGGGAGATTCTGTCCAATTAAGATTAAAACATCTAATTTACAATTTAAAAGATACATCCTCAGTTTTCAGGTAAAAGTCGCTCATCAGTTTGCTAAATTATCAAGTTTTTAGTTGCCATTAAAAGTCTCTAAGACATTAAATCCTGAATGGGTTTAAAACCAGTCTTCTGATCGGCCGCTTCAATTCAATTAATTGGTTTCAGACACTTCTCTATAGGATATTCTGTAAATTTGCCTTAATAAGGACATTAAAGAAGACATTAAATACTGATTTCAGATCCGTGTTTACATGCTCATTATCAGTCCCACATCATGATAATGCCACTACCATGCTTTGCAGCTGGAGCCTGAAGGGCTCATTTTCAATCCATAAAACATTACATTTGTTGTTGTGGCAATGTTCTGTCTGTCCAGTAAACTGTTCAAATCATCTTCTCATTTAAGTTGTACCTTAAGTTCCACATTTAAACAATGGTCATTTTTTCTTTGAGATTATTATCTCAGTCCCTTAAAAAATAAAACAAACTTCAAGCTTAGACAATAAAACTGATTTTTAAGCTTCTTTTAGCTCATCATCAGCTTGAGCTTTGGTTAATCCACCCATCCAGTGTTTCCGAGCAAATTCTCCCTAATTTATCCCTTATCTAAATATGACAGTTTGGATCAAATAAATTTTTCCTACAGGACAACAATCCCAAACATCTAAAATAAAAATGGATAAAGCATTACCTAGCTTCTAAAGCCTCTCAAAAGCCCAACTACGAACTTAGTTAAAATTTGAACTATGCCATAAAGCTTAGTCCCTTCTGATCAAAACTGTCAATAATCGGTTCAAGGCTAAAAGAAAATGAATGTGACTCAGGTGCAAATTGCTAAGGATACTTAACCAAATAATATTAGAGTATAATTATAACTTTGATCATAGCTGGATGAGAGACACGCAGTAGAGATCAATTTATGTGATTCACTGGAAATCAAGAATGAATATGACGTTGAACCCCTCCATGACTGTATGTCAACATTTGACCAAAAATAAGACGATGTGTGAGAAGGTGAACACTAGAAAACCTTCAATCATCATCCTTTATCTTCTTTTTAATGCACTTTTTTTTTTCTTATTTCTTTCTCCAGATGTTGAAAGATGGAGTTTTAAGGTATGGATTCCTGGAAAGAAGTAGAGTAATGCAATAAAATGTTTCAGGTGTAACTGCCCTTAGGGCTGCAGAAAAACAAAACAAAACAAAAAAAAACACCAGTGTCCTCATGTGTATGTGTCTTAGGTCACTTTAATTTAGGTTTACAATAATTTGTCCTCTTGTTGGATTAAACCTAAGCATCCTAATTTGCTATTTTCATAAATACATACATTCTGCTCATACATTTTTATGTCAGATCATGAAATCTTCACAGCAAATTATGAATGATTACTGTCTGCAGAGAAAGCTTCATTTTCCAGGTCCAAGTGTCAGTGCAACAGTCAGACACACAGGAAATGGAAGACCAAATACGGCACTGCCTGCTGATGCCATATGACAATGGGTCGGTCTCCATAGCAACACAAGACGTACAGATAAGTCGCATATGTAAGTATGGCCGATGCTCTTGGACATGATAACCAGCTGCACAGCTGGAAAAACACAAAAGAAGTGCTTATTTTCCTTTTAATTTGTTTTTCCCTCCCTTTCAGTTGTTTTTCAGTGTGATGCTGAAACCCAGCAGACGCTAAAAGGCCTGTTCCAGTGGCCTAGCACTATGGGAGGCAGATATGCTGTATGCGCATGCCCAAAAAACCCTCAGCGCTTTGCTGTCCGACTCTGGTGAGACCTCCGAGTACGATGGAGTTCTTAGGTGGCATTTAAAATCTGACCACATGCAGCTGAGCATTACCAGTATGCGTTCAGTCCTCATCAGTGACCTTTGGATGGAGGTTCAAATTCTAATTATATATGTCAGGATTTGGTTGTGGTTTTAAGACTCAAATGCAGAGGCAGGGAGGCAGAGGTGAGTTTCTTGTAAATGTAATGAAAGGTTAACAGACAACTGAGGCAGGAATCAAAAAAATCAAACAAGAAAAAGGTAAAACCGACCAGAAACCATGGAGACTTCAGGGGGAAACAATCACAACTAGGAAGACACAGAGTTGGATGAAGTTAGTCGAGGAACCAGCACTGAGGATCTGCACAAGGAGAGAATTTATGGATAACTGAACAAAGAGAGAACTAACGAGCAGATTGGTAGCAGGTGTGAAGAGAGCGGTCTAAGGAGCTAGGGAAAAAGGAGACCAACACAAAAGGGCAACAAATAAAAACCTGAAGAACTGAAATATAACCACAAAACACAACCAAATAAGAATTAAACCAATAAAACTAGAAAACATGAAGCAAATTTAAACTGAATACTCAAAAGAAAACATAACAGAACCAAGCCTGTGACAATATACAGGTTAAAAAGAATTGTCTTTTTAAAAGCCTTATCTTCAAAAGTCCTGTTGAGTGTTATTAAAGTTTGATCCTTCTTAGAATCAGAAAACCAAGCAGGAGCATTGAAATAAACCTCAGTGGACAGATTACATGATGACATCAGTAAAATCAGTATGCATTTATGATTTACACTGGAAACCAGATTTAAATACAAAGAAAACATTTGTTATTCTTTCTAACATTTACCTATGATATCTGGTAATTGACGCTATCGACATCAATTTAATGCATCAACAAGCTTGGGTCTGTCTGAGTATTGATTATTTCTATCTGTACATGTTTGCTCTGTTTTGTCCTGACGTCTTTCTGTTGGCTCAGGGTCACAGAGTTTACTAATAGCTCTGTTGTAAAGAGTAATAACCGGAAAATAATTAATTGATTTCCAGATTAAAGGTCCTATTTTAATGACATCAGACTGTGACATTCTAACTTTTTACTTTGTATTCTTTTTATCAAGTCAAGTTAGGAAGAGATAGCTTAAAGGTAAAATATTGATCTTATTTTTATAAGGAACAACATAGATACACAACATTAAGCAGGAAAATTGTAAAAACTGATTAGCAAAGCGTTGCAAACATGCAGTGATTTAAGTTCTAATGCAAACCAGAAAGGTTGTTAATGTTGGAATCCAGACTTGTTTCTGCGTTACACATGTTACACATTAGATTTGCATGATGACAGGATAATGCACAAAATGCTGCAGCGGACTGGCTCAGACACGGCGAGTCCGTCCAGTCAGGGCGCTGTGGTAAAGCTATAAGAAAAGTGATGAAAAGGACAGATTCCCTTTGTTCAGGTACAGCCATCATGTGAGAAAACTCTAATTTATGTTGCCTTATTTTATATCTCTTTAGTTGAACAAACACAATTTAAGTGGGCAAAAAAGGTCAACATATGAATCACAACCTATTTCACAAGTTCAAACTGAAAGGGGAAAAAAATAGCAACACTTAAAAACAAAAGAATAAATTGTTTTATTTTTTTAAAAAGTGGATCCATATTTGTTTTACAAATAATACTACCCTGCATAAAAAAATGCAAATAATTGAGTTATTTACAGACAATCTAATTTTAACACCAAGCCTGTAGACAGAACAGTTTCGTTTTCCAGAATGTCAATCGCTGGAAATTATTCACTGGACTGATGCAGTGACATTTGAGGACAGTTAACAACATGAACCAGGACCGATGCAAGGAAATATTTGGACCACTTCTCAACAGAAAATACAGTAAAGAATTGACTTTATGAATAATGAATGAATAACCATGATTTGTTGTTTTTTTTGTAATTTTTATTTTGTTTAGCAAATATGTTCTGTTTTTTGTATGTTTTGAATAATGTTGTAATTTTTTTCTTTTAAGTAATTTTATATAATAAAAGACAAAAAAAAAACAGTTTCGTTTTAAACTTTTAAAATTATATATGACATCATCCAATACAGAAGACGCTGTAGTGAGACTTAACATAAACCCTTAAATAAAAGGAAATAAAAACGGAAAATTATAATAATTCTATTATTAAAATACACATTTTACAATAACTAAACTTTGCAATTCATAAACAGTGACAGTAAAGTAAAGGTAATTTGTCTTTGCTAAATTTTTATTCTAAAAAAGAAGATAGAAATTTTTTCTGAGGACGAGTTCAGCTTTAAAATCTGCTGCTTTAACAAGTGATGTTGTTTTTACAGCAAACTGTCCCTGAGTACTCACTGGTTGGAGCCAGACGATGAAGACTGCCCCCCAGTGGTAGAAACTATACTTGATCTGGACACTATTGAAGTCACTCCTGGTTCGTTTACTTCTATTTCCGTTCCTTTGTGTGTTCATCCTTGTCTGGAGCTAATTCATAAATTATATTTACTTCTTAATGTTAGTTAAAATATAAAATTAACCACCAAACTAATTCACAATAAATGACTTAACTCTTAAGTAGAAGTATCTGGAAATTCTTTCCACGTTTAGCTCTTTTTACACAAAGCAGCAGTTGTTTACCAGCTGACAATCAGCACATTGTAAAAGTTCTCTCATCATCATCTCATTTGGTTAATGAGGCACCAGCACCTCATGAATAAAATCTACACTAACAAGACATCCAAACTGCTATTATTATTTATACAGTACACAGAAATGCTACTGGAGATCTTGGGAAATTAATAACCTGGATTTGCTATGACAAAATCTAGATAATCTAACTAAGTGGTCAAATTTAATTCAATTCAGTTTATAAATAATTCACATCATGTCATCTCAGCTCACTTTATAGATCC